AAAATCATGAAATAAAATGTTTCGCTCCCTGGTAAATGAGCTGAGACAAAGGAAGATGAAGCATCGTGTTGTGTGAAGAACTCTGGATTTAGAGTTAGAAAAGTGCGAGCATGAATCCCAGCTCCAGTATTTACTGCCTTTGTGACCTTGGAAAGTTCTATCACCTTTTCATTTTCCTTACCTGCAAAATGAAATGATCTGTGCCAGCTCTAAGCCATGTCATTCTATGAATCTCTTTGAGCTGTTCTCTCAGTACATGTATCTCAGACAGATACTAAAGGTCTGCAGTTAGTTGGGTGCAACATTAAATAAGAGGGAGAAAATAGGCTTGATTGCATTGGGAAGGTCACACAGTACTTTCCAAGCTTTTCACTAGAAGAAAGCCTGTTTTATTGTTATTTTTTTAAATATCATTATTCTTCTGGTGTTGCTGAATTATTGTAGCCAAGGGAATGATATTATTTCTAAGAAAACAAAACTGCAGGTTACCCTATCTATGGGCAATAGAGAGGGGGCAGAATGGAACATAAATAAGCTGCAGAATATTTCAAATGATGACACATCTGCAGGAAGTGATATAACTCATCTCCTCTTAGAAAAGCATGAGAGAAAATGCAATCTGTCTGTACCTGTGTTTAACCAGAGTTATCTGTAATTTTCCATGTTTGTTCTCAGTGTATCTCTTTCTGTTCCAGAAGGGATGTTTTGCTTCCTACTGCTCCAGTCTCTCCAGAAACATGTTTGGGAGAGGGAAAAAAAAAAAGATAAGAAATTCTCAATCACCTCCTCTTTTACCCAGAGTGATTACCTTTCAGGGCCTTGGATCTAGAATCATCCTAACTACAGCTCTTCTATCTCTAGGCTGGTTTACCCCTTACCCCTTGCTGACTCATTTCTCTAATTCCTCAAACTATTTAAAGCCCCTACCCCTGCCCCAAGGCGTGGTTAACTTGTTTGGTTAGCCTAAGGGTTCACAATGTGTTTTTGTTCTGTGAACCCCTTTGAACCACTAAAAAACAAAAATGTGTGTGAATCTGCAGTATGATTTGATATAGTACATAATATCTTTATATTTATTCATGAAATATTTATAACTACAGTGATAATTTTACTCAAAAAAGGTACAAATTAAATTTTATATCACTTAAATTATAAAATATAAATTTTATTCTGCCTATAATTAAGAAAATTCTAAATATAAAATTATGGATATTTTGTGTAGGGCATTCTGTAAGAATTAAAAGAAAAAATCCAACAGGACCTCATGTGTTTACTATTATCTACAAAGCTGTATATTAAATTTCCTTATTTTTCAAACAGCATTGTATATAAATACCATTTTAAATGAAATAAATTACAGTTTGGAAGATGTTTAACATGATATAATAATCATATTTAAACTTATTTTGATGTTGGGCTTTTTTATTTTGACAAATATTTTCAATATTTTACTCAACACCAGAAAAACACAATTTTAAATCTGGTTCTATGTTAAGTTTATTTCTGTATTTTGATTTAAGATAAGAATAAAATGAAAATGCTTGCTAACACAAATGCATGAGGAAAATTGTTAGGAGAATTTTACAAGCTCTCTTTCTGAGAGATAGAAATATGTTGTGGTTAAAAAAATCCATCTAACCAATTGATGAAGATGAATAGTTAGTTATCACAAAAATTATTTACTTTTCTACTAGCTAATGAGAAGCATTGTAATGAGTGATCAGTATTCTTAACATTTAATTGCATGGATTGCAAAATATGACCTCTGTAAGAAAAAAAAATCTTTAAATATCACTTTCTTCCTTTGTACAACTAGCAACCCAGTTATATTCTCATAGAAACTCTAATTGAATGACTGACCAGTGTTGCTAACCAGCTCATTTGAAAATCAACCACATAGAAAAAATATTAACAAAGTAAAGTAAATATAATTTGTAAAACAGTCTTACTGCTAAAAGAAGAGGCAACATAAATTTTGTTTCTACAGAATAGTTGTGGTTGTCCATGACAGTTTAAAGATGTGTCTTATGCTCAGCAAGCATGTTTTTCATACAGCCTTTCATTAGCACTGCAAGGCTGCAAAAGTTCTTAATTACCTTGATCACACCATTACACAGTTAATGAGGTATGGAGGTATGATTTTAAGGTAACAGAAGGAATAACTGAGCTCTGCTGCCTCAGTGTACAGAAGGCAAATAAGGACATGTGAGGGAGCTGATCATTGTTTGTGAATCAGCTCATGCTCGAATGTTCTTGTGACAGTTTGGAAACAAGTTGAAGATCAATTGGAAAACTGCAAAAATATGTTGAGCTTAGTCAGAAATAGTCCAGGTTTGATGTCATCACTACACATTGTATGCATTATCACAAAGATTTTGAAATGCTTCAGAAACAGACATACTGCATCAAACACATGCATTTGTCTTCACAGGGAAAATGTATCTGTAACATAATTACTAATTTAGGTGACTATTAAAGAATTTTTATCATGAACCTCTTGAATCATCATCACAACTGACCAAATGGGAACCATTGTGTTAGCCACTCAGCTACTCCTTTGTTAACCCAATAAAAATCTTCACACCTAATAAAATGAGCTCAGGCCACATCTACATCATGCATATTGATCAACTGAGGGGTTTGTTGTAGGGGTGTGGAGGGGGTTGAGGGAAGAGAAAGCACTCCTTGTATAAGAAGGCTTTGTATTTTTAGCAGGAAAATCGGCATGATATAGTGAAAAGAGTGACCAAATTGGAACCTTTTTTTTTTCATCTTGGACAAAGTACTTACCTCTTCTAAGCACAATCAGTTTCTTCATCTGTAAAATGGAGATATTGATAACCATATTACAGGTTTATTAAGAGGAAAAAATTGTAAATCTTGAAATGGCTATGTATTAAAATAAGTTTTTATTGTTATTAAAGAGTTATAGAAAATGTGATTGATGAGAGATTCAGTTGTTCAGCGAAGTTATCAGGCAAAAGGCAGTGTAGTGAAAGGGATGCTGAATATGAAATCCAGAGGAAGGCCTGTCTTAGAATCCCAGTTCTCTATCATCATAGATAGATCACATGATCTCACAGAGTCTGGGATTCCCATTTTGCAAATGAGGAAGCTGAGTCTTGGAAGGATTAGTTGACTTGTCTTCTTGAATTCCCCAACAGAGTCACTTTGAGGAAAGAGATTTGTAAATATTAAAGCATTACATTAATCAATAGTTGTGATTTGTTATTAATTGCTTGGACCTTTAACTTGTTAGTTTATGGGTTCATTTCAGTTTTAGCACTGCCTATATTATCTGAAATATTCTAGAATGTTCTTGTGTCATTTTCTCAGATTTTGTTGAATATCACTGAATAACTCTTTATAAAGTGTGTCTTTGATACAAGTCATAAGATCAAGGATTAGCACTGGAAAGAAGCTCAGAGGTTAGATAGTTCAACCCTCTCATCTTACAGGGGAGGAAAGTGCAACCCAAGAATGTTAAGTCACTTGCTTAAGGTCACACATGTTTGGTATCAGAGGCAGAATTTGAGCCAGGTTTTCTAATTCTGGTGTTCTCTCCTTATACCACTAACCCTGTAATACTATTTATGCCTATGCATGTTATATATAGAGGAATATGGCTATGAAATTATTTCATCCTAGTGAGGGGAACCCGAGGTATGTTGGTCAAATACGGCCCGGCTTTCATTCTCTGTCTCTCTCTCTGTCTCTCTCTCTGTCTCTCTCTCTGTCTCTCTCTCTGTCTCTCTCTCTCTCTCTCTCTCTCTCTCTCTTTCTCTCTCTCTCCCTCTCTGTCTCTGTCTCTCTGTCTCTGTCTCTGTCTCTCTCTCTCTCACACACACATACGTGCATTATATGTTGACTTGGGATCTTTGCCCCATGTTCCTGTAGTATTAATCATTTAATAAGAGATTGGATTGGATTGGTTTACATTGGATTGGACTGGTTAAGGTGACCAATGAGAGTTAGCTTGGCATAGTAGATAGAGGGCCAGCCAAGAAGTTGGGAAAGTGTGGGTTCAAAGCCAGTTTCTGACACAGAATGGTCTTATGACCAGGGGAAATCAATTAATTCTCACTTCCCCAGACAAATCTATATTCCTATAAATTGTAGTGAAAGAGGAATTGCCACTCTACATTAGTGAAAGATGTTTCCTTACCAGGAATTCTTAACAGCAGTGAAATTGCAGGTGTGGGGAAAGCAATTAAATAAATAAAAGTGAGCAGTTTTGCCAAAGTTAATAGACATTTAATATTCATTTGAGGACAAATATAATTCTGATATATATGGACTAAAATAATTCTAATTTAAATGTAGGCTAAAATTATTATGGACTAATAAAATATAATCTAATATATAGGACTAATCTAATTTTAATATATTCCAATATGTTAATTCATTATATATATACATGTATGTATATAATACTATACTAATTCTAATGATCGGTAGTGAGTTATGAGAACAATTTTTTTTTTTAGATACTTGTTGGGAGTTCCCCTCACTGAAGGAAGAGCAAATTCACCGGACTATTTTGACTAACTTAAAATTGAATCAAGTCACTTCATGACTGGTTCCAGGGATGGGAAACCTGCAGCCTTGAGGCCACATGTGGCTTTCTAGGTTCTCAAGTGCAGCCCTTTGACTGAATCCAAACTGCAAGTTTTCCAATCCTAGTAGTCTTTGAACTCCAGAAGGGTGCTAGCCACTGTGGAAATAGTGCTGGTGATGGTCAAAGATGACATTCTTACTTAGCTGCCTGCTTGAAAAAGTAGGCTTGGCCTAAGTCACTGTAACATTACATACATAGGGTCGTTCATTCATGAAAGCAAATATTCATAAAAGCAAACAACGGATCGATGGATATGGGTTCTAACTGGTCATGTTGGGACTTCTTTTTACAATGGAAAGTCAAAAATTATGAGTGATTTGTTATATGGGCTTTTAAGAAGTGTTTCTTAGGGCATTAAATAGAAATGTGTTTTTTTTTTCAGAATCGGATATAACTCTTAAAAATGCAAGGTGAGTCAGTGTATGTTGAAATGCATCTATACATTTTCAGATTCAAGTGATGTTATTGTTAGTTTTGCTTAATTGTTTTACTTTGTCATAAGAGAGGTCTCATGGACTGTGTGTAATCTGGGAATGTTTATAAAGTAAGAACAAAATATATGAAAACTTAAAATGAATAGATATATGTATCCAGGGTGTATATATGTGTGTGTGTGTGTGTGTGTGTGTGTGTGTGTGTGTGTGTATAATACTATATTCACAGATATACAAACACGAACTGAAACATTTGTGTTTCTATGAATTACAGTAAAATTGGTATTATTCTGTTCTTACATTTCATTTTTACTGTAGGTTGGCTTCTAGTCATTTTGGCTAGCATATCCCTGCTGTCTTGCACATAATAGGCCTTTTAAAAAATGTTTATTGTATTGGACTCAATTGGACAAACCCTGTTTGAAAACTTTCTTATCTAGGTGTTTGGCCAACAAGTGATGATTTTTTTTTTCCCCAAGCAATTGCAGCAGGTCATGATGGGTGTCTACTAAAATAGGGAGGGATCACAGTCTGTCATTGGAAGAAAACTTATGATACTAATGAAAACACATGTCCTCAAACTATTAAAATATTTGCATGAATATGATGAATGTTTTCAGAGATCTAATTAGCAATTTTTTTATCTGGAATATTTCAGTTAGGGAAAATAGGGGGTAACTTTGGGAAGGAAGGTTTTCTTCTAGAAGCTTTCTGTTTTGATGAATTATTCTTGTTAATTAGGCCCCAAGCTCAGTTCTTTCCTTTGCTGAAGGAGCCTAATTATTTTGTGTACTCTGACTTTTCACACACTAAGGCAATGTTCCAGTTGTCCCACCTTAGTAACAGTTCAGTGTGATCTATTTATTTGCTATTCATATAAAGCATAACAAAATGATTGTTGCCATTTGGGAAAAAAATAATCGTATGCAGTAGGGCATAAACTCTTAGCTGGTTGTAATAAATCACGACTTCATCTAAGTGTAGCCAAGATACAGTTTTGTTGTGTTGATACAATTCATAGAATTGCTCAATTCTCTAACTCACTTTGTGTTTTTGGAAACAGTATTTTATATATGTGTGTGTGTGTGTGTGTGTGTGTGTGTGTGTGTGTGTGTGTGTATAAATGAGTAGTTTATATGAGATTCTATCCCATGGCATATTTCTCTAAGTTAAAAATGTCACAGATATTACAGTATGCTGTATATAAATTATTTTTTCTAGAATTTTAGACTAAAAGGTCCCCAAATATTCTAAGCATAGAATAACATTCTTTTTTACAATTGTGTTCTTTTTCTAGCCCCCACAAATCCTACTGCACCTATAGATGATACAGAAAAATCACCCAACCCAATATCCGAAGCCCCTCCTACCTACAATTCTCATTATCAGCCAGGTGTGTTCAGTCTTCTGGAGGGTAATTTTTTCTCTTCCCTTGGCTCAGTTTTAGGATTCATGATAAAGATTTCAAGTGGATACGTTTTCTCATCTTGCTATCGTCATTGTCAATGTATTGTTGGCCATGGTTAATGAATTGCTCTGGTCTAGGCATAATATCTTTTTTCATGCATAATGTCTAAAGAACAAATGTTCCATGATATGAAACAAAGTGGAACAAAATGTTCCAAATGATATTTGACAAGAACTGTGGAAAAAACTCAAAATCAATTGGGCAAAAATGAGAATTAGACTAGTACCTTATACAGTATATCACAATATAAAAGTCACAGCATTAACATAAAAAGTAGAGAACAGAAGAAGGTTCCTAGAGGGAGCTTTGGGATATGGTGGAGAGGAGTCCTACACCTAAAATTTGGAAAACCTGAGTGTGAATCTAGCCTCAACCACACTCAAATCATTTAATCTCTGCTTCACTTTACTTATCTATAAAATGGGTATGATAATAATAGTCATTGTTCCAAAGGTTATTGTGAGTACCAAATGGGATAGTTTTTATAAAGTACTTTGTAAACTTTCAAGCACTATGTAAAGGTTAGCTTATATCATATTACATTATAATATTTTGATATATAACACAATACATTATTATATTTATGACTATATTATTATTATCTTCATCATGATTATAATGCTTTTCACAAATATAGCTAAGGGTAGAGTTCTTAACCAAAAGAGACAGAGGTTATTATCAAAGATAAAATAGATAATTTGGAGTTCATAAAATTGAAAAAAAAAACATTGGCAGAAAAAAAATCAGTAAGGATGAATAAGAAACTGTTGAGTGGAGGGGAAAATTCCTTGTTTTGTGTATCATTAATAAATATCTGAGAGCCAAGATAATTCAAGCCAATAAATCAATAAATATTTAGTAAGCAATTACTGTGTGCCCAGTACTGTACTGAGTGGTGAGGATACAAATAAAAGAAAGGCAGTCACTCACCTTGAAGAGCTTATACTCTAATTGGAGAAGACAACACGTTAAAAAACAAAGTAGCTGGAAAACTGGGGGTGGGAGTGGGGGACCCATGCAGGCAGAGGCATGGGGGAGAAAGAATTCTGGAGAGTTGTAAGTAAGGCCTAGAAAGGAATGAATGAACATGGGTAGCCTAGGGGCTCCTCCTTAAAGTGGAGATTCTGGGAAGAAATGACCAATCATATGGAGGGGACACAGGGACATAGAGGTTTACCTGCAAGAGAAGATTGTAGGGAGAAAAGGATCATTCAGAATGACAAGGTTGGTGGAGCAGAAATATATAAGACAAACAAATATCACGCAGAAACATTCTTTAATAGGTAAGTGGCCAAAGAGTGCTAACTGAGTATAATCCAGTGGAATGTACAATGTACATTTAAATAATGTGACCACTTTACAGGATTCATTTATTCTTATCAGGACTTAGTTATAAGAGCAAACACTTTTCAAAAGGTATATCAGAAACTATCAATGAATATATGAAGACACTAACAATATAAATGCACATTTACAAATTTTGAGGTTTCACTTGACACTCAGCCTGTTGGCTAAGATGACCCCCCAAAAAAGCAGGAGCAATAGTAAGGATTATAGCAGTCATTGTACTTGTATTCCTAGTATCTAGCACACTACTTGGCAAGTTCTTAACAAACACTTGTTAAGTAAATCATACAAGAGAGGGTACAATTTCGGGATGGTTGTTGGGGAGGGATATCCAGAAATGACTATGTTGTGAACATAAAAGGCAATAATGATATGCATTTAAACCTACCTAGAGTTTAGAGATTTTAAAGTTTAAAGCCATGGACTCCAGAAGTTCTTAATCAGGGTACCTTCAATTGGAAAAAAAGAAACATTGATAACTATATTTCAATATAACTGATTTCCTTTGTAATGCTATATATTTGAAACATTTAAAAACATCTTATGTATTTAAAAACTATGGAGTAGAGGTCTATATGTCTTACCAGACACTGCCCAAAGGATCATAATATCAAAAAAAAAAAAAGGTTAAAAACTCCCAGCCTTGACACTAGAAGAACAAGAGAAACCCTAGAGTAATGGTGCAGAGCTAATGTCACAGCCCTAGGATCAGGTCAGTAGATCAGGAGATTTCTGAACCAGTGCAATGTGCTTTGGAAGATAATGTTTTCACATATGCTTTTCCTTATATCATATTCAGGCAATAGTCAGCATAACCCTCCTTCCCAGGTTACCTCCAAGTTTCATCCTCAACTGCCTGTCATAACTACTAAGTTATACCCAACCAAGAGAATAGTATCCCAGCCCCTGCTAGCTCCATCCCGCCCCTCACCTCCACTTTCCCTTGAACTTCTAGAGTAGAGTCTATTGGTCTAACTCCTAGTTCAATTTTTCTCTTTCGTATAGTAAAAAAGACCCTGAACTTAGATCAGGAAATCTAGCTATGTGGCTACTCAGTTTCTCAGAGACTCAGTTTTTTATTATGTTTAATAGGAATAAATATTATGTACAGTAACAAATCCACAGAGTTGTTGTATGGGAATGTCCTCTGTAAAACTTAAAGGACACTATAAATGTACTTTATTGTCATTCTTAATAATAATAATAATAATAATAATAATAATAATAATAATAATAATAATAATATAGTCTGTATTTGGCACAGGCAACAAAGAGGGAAATGCATGAAAGCAGCTGTGATGGTTAGATTAGCAATGAACAGTGCAGGGTGGGGTACCTATTTCCTTCTCAATTTCTGAACAGCTATAGTAATTTACAACATTTAGACATTTATATAAAGATATAAAGTACTGCATATGTTAGCAGATGGAGCTGCTGCCCCTGGGATTCTCATTTCAATTTTATGTTCCTTTTTGAATGAATCCCTAGGCTTAATATGTCACACACATTGTCTATATGAAATTGAGCTGAAATAATCCTATAAAGGAACTGCTAATTAATTCTGTATATAGCTTTTAGAATTATCAATTGATAAATCCTTTTTATTTAAAATAATATTTTATCTTTTAGATAAATACATATCTGAACTGTAGCTCTGCAAGCTTAAAAAAACTGTTTTTTTAAAAATTCCATTAAAAAAATATGGATTTACTATTTCCATCTGAGATTCCACTTAAAAAAAAAAATCACTGTATTCGCCATCTAGTGGTATAAATTGGTATTTATCTATGATTCTAAATGTGACCTCTTTTGGAATATATGGTCGCTTTTAAAATTTGTAAAGTTAATTTCTGTGATTATATTTTTCCATTGAGTTGAATTCTAAACCTAGATGGAGTGTTTCCATGCTGTTTTTCCCAAAATATATTAGAAATCACACTTAATAATGAAAAATATTAGTAGCATATATAAGGGGGAAAATACTAAGAATTCATTATTAACATATTAAAATAGAAGTAAATGACTAGTAAAACATACTTCAGTGAAATTTAGTTATATATGAAGGAGAAATGGGCTCTCTGGATTGTATGATTCATGATTTTAATCTCTAACCATCCCTATAATATAGTGGTCAAAGAATGACCCTATGAAGGTTGTCAGATGGATCTTGTAAATATAATGTGTCTACAAATGTACATGTATCATAATAACTCATATTTGTATAGCTCTTTAAGATTTTTAAAACCATTTTCTTTTGTTTCCAGTGATGTATAGCTGTGAGTATGCATAGATAAACTATATAATCTTATATCATCTGTATATGGTATACAAGGCATCAACTCATTGGGCACTCATGAAAAGCAATGATGTCCTTGCTTTTTTTCAGCAGTATAAAAATTTGTTTTATTGGTAGTAGCTAGGCAGAAACATATGAGGGGTACATAGCTCTTAACCCAAATGAAGTAGTCTGAAACTTAGAATCTAAAGAACAATTTTGGGGAAAAAATATGGAAACTTTTGTTGATCATGTTGTAGTTGTTTCCCAGTTTATTTTATCAGCATTAAATCTCTGCTTGTAACAAAGAAAGGGAATTAAAAAAAACCATCCAATACAATGACTATACAAAGAACCATAATTTTGAACCTAAAATAAATATTCACTTTTAAGCCTTTGGTATCCTTTAAGATTTTAGCCATTTGTTCCAGAACACTTAATTTTCCATAGCTTATATAACAATATTGCTTAAATATAATGATAATAAGTAGTTTGATTTTTTTTTCACAACTAAGATTTCAAGTAGTGCCGAATAAAATATTTGCACAATATATTGTTTTCCTAGTTAGGTATTTCATGGAACCTTAGAACTGGAGAAAACTTTATCATCTAATCCAATTCTCCTCATTTTTCAGCTAAGAAAACTGAGGCTCAGAGAGTATAAGTGACTTTTCCAAGACCATACAGGTAGCAAATGGGAGAGTCAGGATTTGAACTAAGGTCCTTTGATTCCAATCCCAAAATTCTTTTCTGCTACACCTGTTTTTCTGTCTAGTTGGTTCTCTCAAAGTTCAATAGACCCATAAAGAGATATAAAATAGAGACGTCTGCATATTATTTTATTCATTAATTTAGGTAACAAACACTAAGCAATCATGATGTGTGCAACAATATGTTAGACATTAGAAGAGCTAGAAAGATGAATAAGCATAGTCCCACTCTTAAGGATGGTGGGAGACATGTTCACCTAGAGCCTTTCCAACAGTGTATGAAAATAGCTTGTATCATAATAGAGCACCATTGCATTCTACATTTTGAAAATTGTATAGAGTTCATCTTTAAAATGACTTCAATTATTTCTCTTTAAAATTCTAATTCTTTCATACTTAGGACCTCCTGCACCAGTTGGCTATCCCATTGCAGGCTATCCAGGCCCTGGCCCTATGGGCTTCCCAGGCCTGAATCAGCCTGGTGGCTTTCCCATATATCAAAGTGGTGGCCCGCCAGCTGTGTATCAGCCTGGCATCAATGTGAACCCAATTCAACCTCCCCAGATACCATGGATGCCTGGACCACCTCCACCCCCAAACTGCCCACCTGGTCTGGAATACCTATCTCAGGTAGTTGAATCTACTCAATCCTTAGTTCATTCACTCTAAGGTGTATTAAATATACATATACTAGATAAATATATAACTTGGTTTTCAATGTTACTGGGGCATTTTGTGGGAAGCAATGACAGGACTTGGTGAAATTAATTACAGGAGGTAAGGAACAAGGGAGAGTTAAAAACAACTCTGTGACTTTTTGCTGGCTATCTTCCATACCCGGAATGCTCTTACTCCTCACTTTTTCCTCTAGACTTCTTTCAAGATTGAACTTAAACCCTACTATAGGCAGGCATTCCTGGTCTCTCCTCTTCTGTCTTCCCTCATGACTTCCCTTCTAGATATATATTGTGTGTATACAGAGTTGTTTTCATGTTGTCTATCTTGTTGGAATGTGAATTACTGCTTGCAAATAGACTCCATGTTTTTGCCTTTCTTTGTCTCCCTCAGGCCTAGCACAACAACTGACCTATCCTAGGCCCTTAACAAATTCATAATTGACTTACTGATGACTTCAAGGTTTCTAGATTGGAGGGCTAGGAAAGAAAGTCAGTTCCAGGGGAGAAAACTAAGGGGATAGAGTGTTAGATTTGGAGTCAGGAAGACCCAAGTTCAAATTCTGCTTCAGACACTTAACTAGCAGGGCAGCTAGGTGGCACAGTGGATAGAGCACCGGCCTTGGAGTCAGGAGGACCTGAGTTCAAATCCAGCCTCAGACACATAACACTTGCTAGCTGTGTGACTTTGGGCAAGTCACTTAACCCCAGCTGCCTAACCAAAAAACAAAAACAAAAAGCAAAAAGATACTTAACTAGCTTACCTTGAGCATGTCATTTTACTTAGTTTCAGTCTCCTCATCTGTAAAATAAGAATGATAATAACACCTATCTTAAAGGGGACATTTTGAGGATCAAATGAAATAACACAAGTAAAGTACTTTGTAAATCTAAAAGCTCATAAATGTGAGCTATTATTATTATTATTATTATTGCTGTTGTTGTTTAAGACATGTTGATTCTGAATTGACCAAAGAATAGCCAAGTATCCATAGATAGATGGACATATTTGCCTAGAGTGTGAGTCAGGGTGAGGGATGGAGATTGGGTAGACCACTTCAGCATAGTTGAAGCCAAGAGACTGAGATGCTAGAGACAGAGGAGCAGACGCATGAGAGTAGGGACTTGGGGGACATCCACATTGGGCAAGAAGAGGAAAAAGAGTCGGCAATGGAGACAGATGCTCTTACATTTGTCACCTACATTTGTCAATATTAATTCATTCAACATATACCTATTATCAGCTATGGGCCAAATTCTATGCTGCAGGTTCCCTATGTGATGATAGATAGATAGATAGACAGACAGACAGATAGAGATAGAGATAGAGATATATAGAAACAGATATAGATCTATCTCTATCTATAAGTAAGTATGTATGCTGAAGATGATGACAGGACCAATACTGGACTAAAATTCTGAAATATGAAAAAAATTGCCATTGGGCTCCTCCATCTTTTTTTTTTTTTGCTTTCTCACATTTGGACATCTTCATTCAACTCCCTCTTTATCTCTTCTCTCCTCCCTTATCAAAACCTGGCCTTAAGGAAGGATAATTTCTAGATGTTTAGGGGGCTGGGGAATTTTCTATTGGATGTACCAAAGTAGGATGAATAAACTCTATTGCCTCTGAATATTCACTTTTTGTGAATAGGTCACATAAATACAAGCGATGGTAGAATTCCTTTGAGTCTAGATTTGTACTCCTGGATATTCATTTTTCACTGTAGCTATCCCTATCTTTGTATCCCCTTTCCTCTGAGTGAAGGGTTGTCCTTGATTAACTGGAAAACAAATTTATCTTTTAGTTTGAATTTGATTTTTAATTCTGTTTTATTTATCTTTAATAACTCTTTGTTTTATCCCAACAGTTAGACAAAATACTGGTTCATCAGCAGTTTCAAATTCTGGATTGTAAGTATATTTTGTCGGTCAGCAATGGAAAGGGAGGTGAATAAACGTTTATACAGTACCTCCTATATGCCAGACACTGTGCTAGGTACTTTACAAATATTAAGCATTTTGTTAAGTGCTTGTTATGTGCTGAGTGCTGTTCTAAACTCTGGGGAAACAAAGAAATGAAAAAACAGTTCTTATCTACAGGAGGCATACATTCCAAAAGAAGAGACAACATGTAAACTACCTAGACACAAGATATATACAGAGTAGATGGAAAGTAAATTCAGAGGGGAAGGCACTAACAGTGAGAAGTATTGGGACCTCCTGGTGGAACTTGAAAAGAGTCTGGGAGGAAGTCAGGCAGGCTAAGAGACAGAGGTGAGAGAGCAGCGTATTTCAGGTAGGGAGCACAGCCATACATGGAGGCTGCTAGATGGTGTCGTAGATAGAGCACTGGGTCTGGAATCACAAAGAAATGATTTCAAACCCAGTTGTGCTAGCTGTGTGTTCCTGGGTGACTCACTCTGTTTGCCTCAGTTTCCTCAACTGTAAAATGGACATAATCATAGCATCTATTTCTCAGGAGTGTTGTGAGGACCAAAGGAAATCCTATTTGTAAAGCACTTAGCACAGTGCCTGGTACAGAGTAAGCACTAGATAAGGCTTAGCTAGCACTGCTCTTATTTTTATGGAGACAGGATATGTCGTGTTCAAGGATCTCAGTATTGTTGTGGTGGCGTTGTTTGTCCTTTGTTCTTGACGAGGACCAATGATATTATAAAGGTGATGTCTTGACTCGCATGTGAATTGGCCTCAAGTGAGGCATAGCTGCACAAAATCCTCAGGTTTACACCCTCTTCCAGAGTCATCAAAGTCCAAAAATGCAGAGACAATTGACTTTTCATCCTGTGCAGTTTTCATTCATGATTTCTTGAAACAGAGATCTGAAAAAACAGGCTTAAAAAGCCCATTGGGTTGCAAATGAAGGCACTTGTTAGAGCATGGTAGTGTAATCATAGAATTCCTAGAGGAGAGAAAAGTATATAAAAACTAGAAAGGAAGGACGAGTTCAGGTAATAAAGGGCATCAAATGTTAATCAGTTGATTTGGTTTATGATAGGGAGTTCCTGGAGGTCATTGCGTAGGGTGGGTATCATAGTCAGACCTACACTCGGGAAAAATCAACTTTAGAAGAAAAAAAGAAGAAAACAAATCACCCTGGCGTCTGAATGGAGGATGGATTGCAATGGAAGGAGACTTGAGGCAGTGAGAACACTGTGAAGAATATTTCAAAGAAGTGATGAGGGTCTGAATTAGGGTCTGCTGATGGAACAAAGACATATACAAGAGATGTTGGGCTAAATAGACACAGTGAGGCTTAGTAAGAAATTGTATATATGGCAAGAATATGAGTAAGGACTCAAGGATGACGCCGACATTGTGAAATATAGGACTATAGCTAGCAAGGAGGGGAAGATTAAGTGAAGGGGTTATTGGTTTTCTTTTGTTTCTGTTTGTTGTTGTTTAGATGGAGGAGACATGGGTACTTTTCTAGGCAGCAGGGAAAGGTTGGGAGGCGATAAGATCATGTAGAGGGATTAACCTTGGTAAGGAGAAGGTCTACCACTTCATTCAAGATAAGAGTGAAGGACAAAAAAAAAAGAACAGAAAAGAAAAGTCTCTTACAGTGGAGGGGAAATGGGGGAAGGTGAGAGGGAATGAGTGCATCTTATTCTCATAGGATTTGGCTTATGGAAGGAATAACATACACATTCAATTGGGTATGGAACTCTGTCTCACCCTACAGGAAAATAGGGGGAGAAGGGGATAAGAGAGCAGGGGGATGATAGAGAGGAGGGCAGATTGGGAAAGGGGGTAATCAGAAATAAATACTTCTGGGGAGGGACAGGGTCAAAAGAAAGAATAGAATAAATGGCAGGGCAGGGTAGGATTAAGGGAAATAGAGTTAGCTTTTCACAACATGTCTACTATGGAAGTGCTTTGCATAACTGCACATATACAACCTATATTGAGTTGCTTGCCTTTTCAATGAGGATGAGTGGGGAGGGAGGAAGAGAAAAAATTTTAAACCTAAAGTTTTAAAAACATATGTTTAAAAAAATGTTTTCACATGCTACTGGGAAATGAGAAATACAGGAAATGGGGTATAGAAGTCTATCCTGCCCTACAGGAAAATAGAAGGGGAAGGGGATAAGAGAAGTGGGGAGAGATAGAAGAGAGGACAGACTAGGGGAAGGGATATTCAGAATGCATGCCATCTTAGGGTGGGGGGAGGGGTGAGATGGGGTGAAAATTTGGAACTCAAGAACTTGTGGAAGTGAATGTTGAAAACTAAAAATAAATAAATTTATATTAAAAAAAAGATGAGAGTGAAGGAGAAGATAGTGGCAGAAGATGTTCAAGTGAGATGAGACGAGTAAGAGGGGAGAAAGGGAAGTTCTTGGCCAATGATCTTAATTTTTGTCTAACAGGTAACATTCGATTACATTCTTGGTCCACATCTTACATTGGGCTGATATTTTTAAATGTCTTACGGAAAAGAGGATTGCCATCTCTGATGCCCTGCCTCTTAGGAAAAGAGGAAAAGAATTGTTTTTCATTATCGTTAAATAGTCATTAATAAAACATAGAACTATAGATTCAAAGCTGCAAGAGATGGATGAAATGAGGTTTTTTATACCCTCAGCTTCCTGAGATTTCATGGACTTAGATGTCATTTAATTCGAACTTCTTACCTTGAAGTTGAGAAAACTAAGGCTTAAGGAGGTAAAGATACTTGTTTTAGATCACACAGCTAATTCGCAAGAGCTAGGACAAGAATTCTCCCATTTTCAGACCTGAGGTTTCTCATGATAAAAACAGATTTAGGGTCAGAAACAGAAAAGGAATAATTAACCTAGGGCAGTTCTCAAATGAAACTTTCCTATCTTAATAATTGATCTTTCTGATCATTTCTTTGATCCCTGAATGAGACTATTTTCCTTTCAATTAATGTCTTCTCTCAGTAGCTATTATGATCACTGAAAAAATGGAGTATGTCATAGTAATATCCTTTCTAAAATTGGCTCAGAACTATTTTTCCCTCAATGATAATCCCTTCTTCCCTGATACATTTAAAAATACCAATAATGAAGGATCTGGATCTGAAATATAGTAAAATTCTACCTGTTAAACAAAAATTGAGACCACTTACCAAGAGTTCTCCTTCCCTGCTCCCTCCCTCAAATACTCATCTCTCATCATTGGTATATCTTCCACCAGGATCTCCTCCTTTACTCTGGTATTGAATGAAGAGATGTCCCTTCTATTTGCCAAGGGCAACCCTTCTAAATGTAATATGAGGCCTCCTCAAAAAAACAATGTTTTTAAATGTCTACTACATGGAAGAAATAAGATCTTATCTTAAATGACTATTAAGCTTTTTAAGTGAAAGTCCGCATGGTGTAGTAGATAAAGAATTGACCTTAGGGTCATTAAGACCTGAGTTCATGTCCTGCCCCTCTTCTAAACTGACTCTATGACTGTGGGCAGATCTTTTCATCTCTCACTACCCCCAGACAACTCTTGGAAAATGTAAATTAAGATGAGCTGCTAATCTGTGATCTCTAAACTATCTCCACTCCAATTAACTCCCTAGTCTGTTGGGTCCAATCACCCAACATTAAAATAAAGTTTCTTGGGATGGTTTTGCTTTTCAAAAGATTTCAGTTATATGATAATACAAGGAATACACAAGTGTGATGTCTTCTTAATTTTTTTTTTAACATTTTCTTGTTTGTCATGAACTTAATAATTACAAACAAACATATTCAGTCTCACAAAGATAAAAAAGGAAGGTCGCATGTCAAATTCTGGACTTCTGTTGTATGTTACTTGTTTTTGATATCATATGTTAAAATTAAAAGGCTAGTAACACCAATGTCTTAAATATTACATACAGTTCAAATGTGATAAAGGAAATTAGTTTTAAAAGTATACTAAAGGAAGACATTTCTTTTTTTCCCCCTAGAGTTGCTTTTTGTTTGTTTCGTTTTGTTTTGTTTTCCAATGAGGCTTCTCTCCCAATGGAGATCTGGACCTTCTATAATTTATAGTCATAGAGAGTTGCTTGAGACATCGAGAGTTTAAATGATTTACCCACAGTCACACAGCCAGTTTGCGTCAGAGGCCTTAAACTTAGTTTTCCTGACTCCAAGAAAGGTCTTCATTGACTCTGCTTCTATTTATTTATACTAAAGCTAATTAATCTTAACTAAACTTCTTGTTTTATTTTCCAGTGATAACAGGATTTGAAAGTAATAACAGATATGAAGTTAAAAACAACATGGGACAGATGGTATACATGGTACTTGAGGACACTGATGACATTACCAGAAATGCCTATCATTCAATACGTCCCTTTGTCCTTAGGGTCGTTGACTGCATGGGCCAAGAAATCATGAGAATGCAGAGGCCCCTTCGGTATACCTGTTGCTGTTTTTGTTGCTCTTCTACCATGCAAGAGGTTAGTGGCTCAGGTTCCATGCCATTTTTTTCCATATTTGATGATATGGTCTTGGGAAGCTAAGTTCTCTTAACCTTGCAGAAAATCAGAGAGAAATTCCTCCTTTAGGTTAGGTTCTCTAACCACCAGTTAGTATGTTGAAGCCTCATGCTAAGAGTGAGTTCTTTATGGTCAATGACCTTCATAGGAAAGGCATTTCTTTCTTCTCTGAGTGGTGCTATTTGGGAACCAAGATAAGGGCAGCATAAAACACTCAGCTGTGGTCTTAAGAAAGAAGTAAGGATAGTAGGTAAAATGCTGCCTTACTGCCACAGTGTGTTGGTTGATGGCCACCTCCCTCCAGTTTTTTTCTTTTTGTTTGTTTTGTTTTGATTTGATTTTGTTTTTAGAAGTCATTGCTAAGCATGATGGTGCACACCTCTGATCCCAGCTACTGGTAAGAGTAAGACTGGAGGATCCCTTGAGCTTCAAGAGTTTTAATGTTTTGTGGACTCTGGGTGGGCATCTGCCCTAAATTCAGCATCAATATGGTGAGCTCCCAGTAGCAAGAGGCCAAAGGAAGGGTAAACCAAGCTACTCCAGAAATGGGACAGGTATAAGTTTCTGTGCCAATCAGTAATAAGATTGGACTCATGAGTGGCCCCTGTATTTCTAGCCTAGGTGAGAAAGACCTAGTCTTTAAAAAAAAAAATCAAACACATGCATACATGCACACACACACACACACACACACACATACACACACACACACACACACACACACACACCCTTCCTGGGGACAAAAAGAAGACAATTTCAGTCTTAAGGGAATGTTGTCTTTCCACTAGGGGTTACAATGTGAACAGAATTATTTGTTTGTTTTACAGAGAACTCCCATTGGCATTGCCTTCATGGTTCTCTATGAAAATAGAGGAATCCATAGCATATGTGACAATGTTTCCCAGACAGTTATGATCACTATTGATTTACTTGTGCCTAGTAAATCCAGGAATGTGTGAACAAGGACCTCTCCCATGACAGGAATAGCCAGCTATCAGATGACTTGGATCCAAGTCAATAAATAAGTCACCAGAACAAAAGCAGAGTGAGATCTACTCTAAGTTATGTAACGAGGTACAGACAGGCCCAGAAAATCATCTTCCTTTGATGAGTAAACACACAATTTGTTGGTCTTTAATATTATAGATCACTGACTCCACGGGCAAAGGAATTAGATTCAAACTCTGCCTCTTATAATGTACCTATATGGTGACCTTGGGCAAGTCACTTAATCTCTTTATGTCTCAGTCTTCTCACGCGTAAAATGAGTATCAGACTAGATGAGCTCTTTTCTGGCTATGTCCCTGTGACCCGTGGTGGAGATTTTATGGACTTATCTCAAATTAATGAAATACTCTTCTGAGCTTTTGTAACCACAGTTTTCTGGGGTTACATAAACTTGGGGGTGAAGAGGACTGAAGTTAGGATCCGTAGTCTATTTCTTATCTTTAAATCTAAAGACTGACCTTTTGTGTGGCTTTAGTGCTATAGATAAATCTACTAAATAAGTAGATTGCCGGAACCAGAAGATGTTGACCAGAACAACTTCATCAGATTCCACTTAGTACCACAAAGGCTTGATAATTTATGCACTATGAATGTCACCTGAGCAAAGAACTATTGCAATTAAATACATACTTATTTCCTGAATCACATTTGGGGTTTTGCCACAATTTACATGAACATATCATGTGGCATTCTGTTTCTCCAGTTTATGCCCGTTCATGAGACATTACTGCTGTAAGCCTGATTTTCCCATTAAAAAAACCCGAAAAATAAAAAAAACCCAACTGTGCTTAATTAAAACTACTGAAAAAGATTATAGAAGCTCCATTTAGTGGGCTGCAGCTAGGGTGGGATGATCAGGGCTTTGTCCTATGCCACTGATTACTCTTATACTCCAGAAGCGTAGAAACAACTTAACCAATAGTACCTAGTTAGAAAGAATAGATAGTTAAAATAGAAGGCTACAATATTGAAGACTTCTTTTGTTTGCCCTTCCCTACTCCTTTTCTCTCTCTCTCTCTCTCTCTCTCTCTCTCTCTCTCTCTCTCTCTCTCTCTCTCTCTCTCTCTCTCTCTCTTTTTTACAACTTAAGATAAGCTTTGGGCTTTATTTTATTTGTCCAGAAAATGGTGTGTAGTATTTCCTCTAGATACATAAATTCCTTGAGTAAGAAACTTAAACCTTTTTTTTGTATTGGGGATGTCCACTGTTTATCAGAAAAGTACACTGCACAGATTTATGAACTGAAAGAGGTTGGTAGAGAATATTTTAGAATTGTTAAGAAAATGGTACCTAATAAGACCAAATTGTTCTACAAAACATGAGGTCTGTGGAATGTCCCTTTATAATCTTCTGCGGCCACATTAACCTGAACACATACAAATCTGGAATGCTTTTATGTTTCAGTTATCTTTCTGCAGCTTAACCCTACCAATCCTTTTGTTTGTAGCTTGAGGTTCAGTCTCCGCCTGGCGTGCCTCTTGGCTATATCATGCAACAAGGGGTTTTTTTCGCGACAAACTTCAGGATTGAGAATGAGAAGAAGGAGCATGTGCTGAACATTGACGGCCCATGTAAAGCTCAGTGTTGCTCAGATACAATTTTTCAGGTAAGATAGAGAGATACAGGCAAGAATGTAAGCTCGTGGAATGAATGATTGGAAGAATAAATAAATGAAAAAGCATTTATTAAGCATTTACTATATACAAAGCACTGTGCATACAAATATAAGCCGTCAAAACACTCTCTGTGTTGTAGGAGCTTACACTTTAATAGAGAAAGGCAATGCAGAGAGGGGAGCTAAAGCTAAAAAACCGTCACGGAGCAAGGGAAGGAATGTGGTGGAATGGTGTAGAAATAGCCTGGAAGTGGCATGGTGGGCTTGTTCCAGAAAAGATATGGCAAAAACTCACCTATCAGAGGCCAGGGTCCCAGAGATGGAGTTTTACATTTGAGTAAAAGGAGAAGGAGGGCCTTGGTTTGGAAATGGCCAGGGAGAGGCATGAAGACCTAGCCCCAGGCAAGATAAACGTAAAGCTTTTCTATTAGAACCCAGGGTCCCAGGGGCAGAGGTCAAGGTCTAGTGGGAGAGTAAAGACCAGAATACAGGAAACATGGTTTGGAAATAGCCAAGAAGAGGAAAGTAGGTATCGTTTCATGTTTGTCTTTGTATTCCCAGCATTGGGCGCAGTACCTTGAACCTGAGAGGTGTTTAATAAATGTTTGTTAAGTGGGCTCTTGCCAGGATCGATCTCTTGTTGGCCTGTAAACCTCAGAATTAAGTTGCCTGAAAGCTTTTATGTTGTTATTCAGTCATTTTCACTCATGTCCTACTCTCCATGAGCCCATTTGAGGTTTTCTTGGCAAAGACACTGGATAGATTTGCCATTTCCTTCCCCAGCTTATTTTACAGATGAGGAAACTGAAGTAAATAGGGTTAATTGACTTGCCCAGGGTCACCCAGGTAGTAAGTGGCTGAGGCCATATTTGAATTCAGGTTTTCCTGACTCCAGGACTGGCACTCTGCCCGCCACACCACCTAGCTGCCCAGATAAAGGGAACAGAATTCATAACAATGGCAACAGAAAATGTGTGAACATCAGCTTACTGTTAAGTAAGCAGTTAGGGCAGCTCTAGGAAAATGTAATCCTTTATGAGTTGAAAGGGAGAGTGTAGTATATTAATTGATTTCTATCCCAAATGTGAGCTTAGCTGTTTTTACATGACTTCACTATTGGCTATATTCAATGACCATTTGAATACATTTGAAAGAACAAACACTTTGAGAATTAAAATTCTAACCTAAGCTGGTATGTGTATATATAACTGACTGGCTGCTCTAGATTTCTAGAGTGAGAAAGTTGGGACAGAAAACCCGAATATCCTTTTCCTTTGAAATAAGCCAGGGCCCACATTCCGGGGTTCTCCATATCTTTACTCAGTTATAGGAAGGAGTGCTCCTTTCCAACTTTAACTTACTATTAACCCTGAGTAACAATTCATTTATCTTTCCCCCCATCTTTTTCCTCATTACCTCCAGAAGTCTAACAAAAGAAATTCTTAGAAATTTATTTCTGGATATATATTGTTTTTTAAAAATCTCCTTGTCATTTAAATTCTGCTCCTGCTGTTCTGCAGAGATTGCTCTCTGAAAGATCACCAATGGTCACTTATCCAAAACCAATAATGACTTTAAGGTTTTCACCCTACTCAATCTCTCTGCAACACTGGACACAGCAAACTCACCTCCAATATTTTGAGACTATCACTGTTTACAATCTGTGATACTTCACTCACTTGGTTCTCTTCTATTTCTTGCTTGTCTCTCCTTTAATGGCCTTTTTTCTCCTCCAAACCCTGAACGATGACTATATTTGTGCCCCTCTTATCTTTTGTCTGTCTCAGAGAATTCCTCTGTCCATGTGGTGTCAACTCTCACCTCTTTGCAAATGACTATCAGGCTATGTTTTCAGCCTCTGACCTGTGTTCTGATCCAAATGCTCATAGAACTTCTGTGTTCTGCCATCACCTCAAACTCAACATGTCCCAAAATAGGTTCCTCCACTTTCCCAATAAATTGTGTCCCCTTACCATTCTCCTTTCTCTGTCTGGTATTGATACTATCATTACCCTTAAATCCCAGACTATTCACCTGTTTCCATTGACTTCCCTCTATCTTATGTCCAATCCATTACCATACCTTGCTAATTCTTCCTTTGAACCATCTGTGGGATTTCTCTATGTCATCTCCATTCTCCCTGCCACTTCTGTAGCTAATGGCCTAATTACCTCACTCCTAGGCTTTTATTGCAGCCATCAAAATTCCCCTCTAAACAGTTCTACATACTCACACTAGACCGATTGATTCATCTCAAGGCAATACTTAAATTTATGTCTTTTGAGAATATTCATAATAATAACTCACATCTGCACAGCACCTCCAGAGAAAGTGTTCTTAGCTGGATGGCACCCTCACTCATGTGTTTACTTTCAATATGCTTTGATGTATTACAGGTTACATGTGCTTGGTAAACTAGATGGGCAGGTTATTTGATCTGGTTTTAAATAAACTAACCACAAAGTGGACGAAGAACTCAAAAAGATTCCTGCAATGAAACCATAGATTGAAGATGGTACTACTAATAATTTACAACTGAAAATGAAAACATAACAGAACTGATGTTTTTGTACTTCTAATTCCAGCTCTTTGTTAGTCATGTCTTATTGTGAAAATGATGGCTATCCATCTAATAAGATATGAAAGAAATTGGCCAAAAAGTTTAAAATCATCAGGTAGATTAATTGAAACAACTTATACCCACTGTTTATTAAAAAAAAAAATTCAACACCTTATGATTACTTTGCAAAAGCAACTAAACTGATTAACGTTAAGGAAGATGGAAATTCACTAGCCAAATATATATATTTATATAACTGGTGGATGGTATTGTAATTGAGCAGCATGATTTATTAAGTGCAGTCCTTGGTACATTTTTTCATTTGGTCAAGAGTATCTCTGTGACCAGAAGAGCAGGCTGGTTTTCAAAGAAGAGGAACTAGAGACCTAATTGTCAATATTTAATGAATTATGGAGAAAACAAAGAAGTTCCAGAAAAAAATATATACTTCCACTTCATTGACTACACTAAAGTATCTGAGTATGTGGATCACAGCAAAATGTTGGGTAGTGCTTAAAGAAATGGGAGCACCAGATCATCTTACTTGTCTCCTGAGGCACCTTTATATGGACCAAGAAGCAGCAGTTAGAACCAAACATGGAACAACTAATTGGTTTAACATTGGGGCAAAAAAAAGTATGACAAGGCTGTCTATTGTTACCTTATTTATTTAACTTCTATATAAAGTAGATCACTTGAAATGCCGGGCTGGACAAATCAAAAGAAGGAATTAAGGTTGCCAGGAGAAATATATACAGCTTTAGACATGCAGATGAAATGGCTCTAATGGCAGGAAGTGAAAAAGAATTAATAATCCTCTTGAGGGTGAAAGAACCGTGTAAAGCTGGCTTGAAGCTTAATATAAAAAACCCACTAAGATCATGGCAACTGGTCCCATCATTTCCTGGCAAATATAGGGAAAAGAAATGGAAGCAGCATTAGATTTTATATTCTTGGGCTCAAAGGTCACTGCAGGCAGTGACTGCAGCCATGAAATTTAAAAAAAAAAAAGCACTTGCTCCTTGGAAGGAAAGCTATGGCAGATCTGGACAGCATACTAAAAAGCAGAGACATCACCTTGCTGACTAAGGTCCATGTAATCAAAGCTTTGTTTCTTTGTTTGTTTGTTTTTACTCTAGCAGCCATGTAGGGTTGTTAAAGTTGGACAATACGGAAAGTAGAGTACCACAGAATCAATGCTTTCAAATTGTAGTGCTGGAGAAGACTTTTGGGAAACCCTTGGAAAGCAAGGAGATCAGTTAATTCTTAAATAAATTAATTCAGACTATTCATTGGAAGGTCAAATACTGAAGCTGAAGCTTAAATACTTTGGCCACATAAAGAGAAGCCATGACTCATTGGAAAGTACAATGATGATGGGAAAGATTGAAAGCAAAAAGAAAGGGGGATGACAGAGAATGAAATGGATAGGTAGTGTCATAGAAACAATGAACATGAGGTTGGACAGATTTTGTAACATAGTGGAGGATAAAAGGACCTGACATGCTATGGTTCACGGGATCATGAAGAGTCAGATACGACTGAACGACTGAACAAAAATAGCAAAATTTGTGACATATTTGTCATCCATAATTGTCATTAAAAAACAAACATTGAAGTGAATTGATCTCAGAACTAGATGTGGAGATTGCTGTATCACAAAATGTTAAATTAAGATATTCAAAAAATAATGAAGGGAGCAGCTAGGTGGTACGGTGGATAGAGCACTGGCCCTGGAATCAGAAGGATCTGAGTTCAAATCTAGCCTCAGATACTTGACACTTACTAGCTGTGTGATCTTGGTAAGTCACAACCCCAAATTGCCTCACAATAATAATAATAATAATACCAATGAAGGATGACCAATTCTATTTCTTTTAATAAAATATAATTATTAACTAATAAGTAATATTTTAGTTGGAGAAAAATGGTTTTATATACTATTAACAAATGAAATATTTATTTTTAAATGTCTATTTCATTTTTATCTTATTCTTTTTATTTATATTTTCAATATGTTTTATAATGTATATAATATTAATGAGTTTAAAACAATCACAACAATAGTAGTAGTAGTAATAATAATAATAATAATAATAATATAACATTTATATATGCCAGGTACCGTGCTAAGCACTTTACAATTATTATCCCATTTGATTCTTACAATAACCCTGGGAGGTAGGTGCTATTGTTATCCCCATTTTACAAGTGAAGAAACTAAGGCAAACAGAGGTTAAGTGACTTGCCCAGGGTCACACAAGTGTCTCAGTTTGGATTTGAACTTGGTTCTTCCTGACTCCAGGCCCACTGATCTATTTACTATGTCACCTACATGTCTAAATAAATGAATGAATTAATGGTTGGATGGATATAGAAACAGATAAATAGATAAATGAATAAACATAAATAAAATACACAAATATTATTTTCTTACAGGGGCATGAAAACAAAGGTTTAGAGACCACTGCTCTATCAGGGATTCTTAAACTGGGTCTCACTGGGTAGATTTTAGGGTCTTGTGAACTTGGATGGGGAAAATACATTTTTATTTCATGTAATTGGCTTCAATATGTAATCTTGTGTATTTTATTGTATGCATTTAAAAATTATTTCGAAATTAGGCCCATAGGCTTCCCCAGACTGTCAAAGTTATTCAAGACAAAAAAAAAGTAAACAACTTTCGTTCTAGAGTCTAGGAAGTTCCTTCATTAAAAGTAAACTGTTCCATGTTTTGTTCTTTCTAGATTTTATAGGATGAATAGTTTCCTAATTTTAGATAAACTAATCTGCTCTAGTATTGATAGCAAGTAAAGACATGAATGTATGACAAATTATGTGACTATTATTATTATTATTTGAATATTAAAGTGTCCCCTCTTTGAAATAATGCCGTTAGCCAAAAGGAGTAAATGTCCATTAGGAAGAATTTTAGACAACTTGACAAATTAATAAGATAGGATAACCTTTAGAAGGTACCCCTACAATGAACCCGTAGACGAAGTGCCTCTGAGTGAACTCATTGTATTTCTGCCTCTTCCAACATTAAATACCTGTAAGGAGACCATAAAAGTCACATTTCTCTCTTTCCAGATTAGATCAATGGATGGAATCAATATTGGAAGTATTCGTAGACAGTGGCCTGGTGCTGCAGAAGCAGAGATAGCAGATATAGACAACTATGAGATCACGTTTCCATTAGATCTCAACGTAACACTGAAAGCTATGGTCTTTGCAGCTACCTTCCTCATTGTAAGTTTTCACTTTCATTTTTTTGAAATATTTTTTTGAAATTCTAAACATACACACCAGAAAATGAGCATTTCTACATGTAAAGGAGAACATAAGAAGATGACTATGTATGGAACCATCAATCTCCTTTTTAATATTCCTTGCTTTAAAATAACCATATATATACATATATATATATACATGCATACATACAGATGTATAAATATAAATATATATATATATATATAATTTGTCATTTCACGTATTAGTTTCAAGACTGTCCTGCTTGTTTGCATTTCCTTCTGAACTTTCTTCTGCACAATTAAAAAAAAAGATACTTCAGTGCCTTTCATTTTAGGGACTTTTATTGCTAAACCATACCTCTCTGATCCTAACCCCACTCCCAATTAAAAAACACAAAGAAGAAGGGGGAAAGCCTTGACATAGTCATGCAAAAGAAATCTGCACAGTAGTCGCATCCAAAATAATGTCTTTTTCGGTATCCTGAGGCAATCCCCTCTCTGTCAGGAGATGGCTAACATGCTTCGTTGTCATAGGTCCTCTGGAGATGTGATTGTTCACTGCACTGATGAGATTTCTTAAGTCTTTCACATCTCTTTCTCTTTACAGTGTTGTTATCCTTTTACAGATGTATTCTGGTTTTGTTCACATCACTGCATCAGTTCATGCAACCTAGGATGCTCTGAAATAATATTTTGTCACTTCTTAAATACAATATTTGATTACATTCTTATAACAGAATTGATTCAGCCATTCCTCAATTGATGCAGCCTGTCCCCCTCCCACACATATACCTTGGATTTTAGGTTAGCTTTTTAAAACAATAATCCCTCCTTTTAATCTCTCCTTCAGAGTCAGGAAGTTTGTTTTGCTGACTGCCATTCCCTCTTAGTATATCATCCATCTTATCATCTTCATGCCATGACCCTCCCTTCCTTTCCCAGCTTCTTGCCCTGTTGAGATTATTGTATTTCTACACCAAATTGTTAGTTTATGTGGATTCAGCTGTCCTTCATCCTTTTCATATAAAAGTGAGTTTCCTCTGATGTTCAGTCTCCCCGCTTCTTTCTCTGTGTTTCTATACATCTTTTATCACGTACCTCTTCCTTTCTGTTACAAATATATTCCTTTTACCCTCCCTCCTAAAACTACCACAACAGTGGGGGGAAAAAAACAAACTACTTCACAGCACTCTTTTTCTTGATTAGTTCACTCAGTAATCTATGAATACATTAAAGCTCCAAAGGGACACTTGTTTCTTCTCTCCGTATTATCATGTTAGCATGATATCATCACAGAGCCCTTTCCAGTTGCTCAAATTAAATTACCTGTCTAGGTTTCTCAGGACTCTCATATCTGTATTTCAGAATTCTTATTCAGCCCTAGTTCTCTACTACATTGAAGATTAATTAGTTTCCCCGTAAGTTTAGACTTAGCTTCATGAGGTTAAGTTACTCTTGGTTGTAAGCCTATCTCTTTTGTCTTTTGGAATATTGTATTTCAAGGTCTCCTGGTCTTGTGTGAGCTTGACTCATTGGTGTTTGAAATATTTCTTTCTGGATGCTCAAAATAATTTTTTTTGTTTGATGTGAAAGCTTCGGGTTTTGGCCATGGCATTTCTGGAAGTCTTCCCTTTTTGTTTTGTTTTATTTGTTGCTGTTTGATCTTGGTTCTGCTCTAGTAGGTGATAGTTGGACTCATTCTATCTTCATTTTGCTCTCTGATTCTAATATATTTGGGAAGATTTCATTTGTAATTTCTTTTTTAATTTTTATGTTTTTATTTTTTCCAATTACATGTACAATTTTAATTCATTCAAAATTTTTTTGAGTTCCTAATTCTCTCTTTTCCTGCATCCTCTTTTCCCTCCATGAAAAGGCAAGCAATTATATATAGATTATATATGTGCAGTAATTCAAAATATATTTCCATATTAGCCATGCTGCAAAAGAAAACACAGACCTAATAATAACAATAATAATAATAATATAACAAGAAAAATAAAGTAAATAAATATGCTTTGTTCTGAATTCAAATTCTGTCAGTCCTTTCTCTAGAGGTGGATAACATTTTTTACCATAAGTCCTTTGGAATTGTCTTAGATCATTGTATTGTTAAGAATAGTTGTCATTCACATTTGATTATCATGCAGTATTGCTATCACAATATTCTTCTGGTTCAGCTCACTTTGCATCAGTTCATATAAATCTTTCCATATTTTTTTATGAAATCCCCTTGATCATCATTTCTTATAGTGCAATAGTTTTCCATTTCAATCACGTACCACAATTTGTTCAGCCATTCCCCAGTTGATGGGCATCCCTTCAAATTCCAGTTCTTTGCCACCACAAAATGAGCTGCTATGCATATTTTTCTGCATATAGAACCTTTTCATTTTTTAAAAACCTCTTTGGGGGGACCTAGGTGGCACAGTGGATAGAGCACCGGCCTTGAAGTCAGGAGGACCTAAGTTCAGATCTGGCCTCAGACCAAACACTTGATACTTACCAGCTGTGTGACCCTGGGCAAGTCACTTAACCCCAATTGCCTAAAAAAAATAAAATAAAATAAAATAAAATCTCTTTGGGATACAAACCTAGTAGTCATATTGCTGGGTCATTTATAATTTCTAGATATATGTCGAGGATTTTTTTAATCGGGGCTAATGAATCTTAAATTTTCTCTCCTTGACCCATTTCCTGGTTAGCTTTTTAAAATAACTAAATAGCTTAAATTTTCTTCCATTTTTCAATTTTTAAAATTTTATTCTAATATTTCTTGTTCAGTCATAGAGTCATTGATTTATATTTGATTTATTCTGGTTTTCAGGATATCTGTTACATGGGTAAGATACCACTTTATCCTTTAACCTATTTTTCTCCTTCCATTTCATTCCAGAGCTCTATTTAATCCTCCATCTCTTACTTTATTTCTTCTAGCTATTTGTGTAGTCATTGTAGAAAATCCATTTTTTCCTTCTTGACTCACTGATTGAAGTTGTTACTGAGTTACACTCTACTTTGGGGAACTTCTAGAGCTGCAATAATTGTTTATATAGTCATTATTTTCTTTGATTTCTTCCTCTGTCCAACTTTAGTTCCTGAACTGGGGCTTCCTGACAATGTTTTGATGTACATTTTTGGGCGGAGTGGTCAGTCCTGCTTGGTTATTCTCTTCCTGGACAGATCTGTCCACCCCTTCTCCTTCCACCTCTTTCGGAAAGCTCAGCCCCCTGGATCTCTGTGGGTCATAGCATTGACTTTTCATGGTTCTCTTGGTCATCTCAGGATAGTTTTAGGGACCTTAAAGTCCCTGTGGGCCAACTCTCAGTGCTGCCATATAGCTCTCTTTACTTCCCTTTCCTGAGGCTTTCAAGATCTCTACCCTGAGTTTTCTGATCACCTCCCTGGGTCTTTCTCTGGTCTCCTTGCAGGTAAGATATGTCTGGCCTTCCATATTAAGGACTATGGTTTTTTTTTTCCTTTAACTATGCTGGCACTGGCTTTCCTTGTAGCTACCTTTCCTTATTTCCTGTGGCCTTCTGCATATCTCTGCAGTTCTTCAAGAAGAAGTCTTGCATTTTTTTCTTCCTTCCTTGGTGATTATTTGGCTTGGTGAAGATTTCATATTTTGGCTTTAATACTCAAATGGGAGCTGGGAAGCCATCTTAGCTGGAAGTCGCTCATAAATGAACAAAGTCTTGACTTTTGAAATTACGGCATGAATTAGATTCTTCTGAGCCATAGCCTTAAAAATGGCAATGTTTGTTTAATTTAACTAGTTTTTTGTGAATATGCACATATAGGAATTCCAGTATAACTGAAGTGGGAAAATAACTCTTTACCCTTCAATGTAGGAAATTTAATATTTGTAATCAACGTATCTAAGTTGTTTAATTGATGCTGCGATTAAAAGGTCTTCTTTCATATAAATTTAATTATATTTGTTCTTAGGTGATAGATCATCATATTGTAGAAAGAACAGAAGGCTTGGAGGCAGTGGAGTTGGGATTGAATCCTAGCTCTTCTGCTTATTCCCGGTATAAATCAGACTGCTCACATAGTCTCTCTCTAGGTTTCAGTTTCCTTGTCTGTAAATTCACCAATCCATCTACCTCTAAGCTTATGATTCTATGAACCTAGAAATCAAAAACTGGGAAGAGACTTAACCAATACATGGCAGGCCAGAATTGGAACGCTGTTTTTTATCTTTTCTATATTTATTATGTAAATTATTTGAAATATACTTAAGGAATAAAAAAGAGTAAGAAAAATTGTTGTGTTTATTTGAGACAAATAAGAATATAAACTGTGTTTTTCTGTTCATGGAAAGATACTATAAAATAGTCTTGTATAAAATAAAATAAGAGACTATAAAAATAACAAGAAAAAATTTAGTTGATAACTCTCATCACCTGATATGATAGACATTTAAAAATTTCTCCAAAAGAAAACACTGACTTGAAAATCTTATTTTATTAGTATAGTTAATAAAAATTAGTAGGGCTAATTGACAATGGCTTTCTGTTGATGCCTTATTGTTTATATACTATATACATATATGTATTTTTTTTATTTCTAGGATTTCATGTTTTTTGAACACTCTCCGAGAGATGACCGTCAACATGATAACTACTAAGAATAATAGAATGTCAGAGTTGGAAAGGGCCCTAGTGGTCATCTGTGAAATCCATTCACGAGCAGAATCATCAGATAGACCATTTCCTGGAAACGGTTATCTACCTTCTATGTGAAGACCTTCAGTGATGAGGGACTCTGTACCTTTGAGAACAGACCGTTCCATTTTGGAGCAGCTCTCATTGTTAGGAAGCGTTTTCCCCCTTATATGGGGCTGAATATTGATTAGATTCTTTGTAATTTCCACTCCATACTCCTGCTATTACTCTCTGACAGAAGGGAAAACAAGTTTAATATCTCTTCCAAATGACCTGAAGAAATACCTGAAGTTCTTCAAATATGTTTTGAAAGCTATCACATCCATCTCACCTCCGTGGACTCCCCCAAAAAGCATCCTGTATATTCTGGCCTCTGTTTCCATTAAGCACTATTATAATATCGCTGTCATTGTCCTGTACATGTCCAGTCTGAGGAGCACTCTTCTGTCATCTTGGTAACATACTCGATACACTTCTTGTCAATAGTGCATTGAGCGATTATATTAATCTGTGGCTTTCATGAGGCTTGTTGTTGGATAACGCTCTTCTTATGTCTGTATTCTTTTGTTCTCCTATATTCTTTAAAATAAGAAGCTTAGGGAAAAAAATAGAGGCTTTGCATTTCTAAATGATAACACTGAAACTAGCCTTCCCCTCTGCCTCCCCGCTACCCCGACATAATGTGCTTTTCCTTTGGAGTTTCCTGAAATTTAATTCTATGGCCAACATAACATATAATTCTAGCATCCCTTGTATATCATACTACTATGGATCTATGATTGGCATACTCTCTCCATTGGTGAGGGGATTGTATTAGATCACCTCTTCCAGCTCTAGAACTATAATCCTATGACTTTCCCAAAAGTCGAGATTCCATCTGATATGCTGGGAGCCTTCTATATCTCATAACATTGAAATTGTATAGATAACAGTACTATTGCCATGTAGCAGCCTACTTCCCTTTCTAGGCTTCTCTCTGACGGTATCATTGAATTTGTGGGTAACATATTGTAGCCTATTCATATTCATCATATGCCTTGCCATTACCCTATGGGTAGTAGTCAAATTTAATTCTTCAGAGACTGTAGTATCCTTTGACTCAAGATTGGTCAACATACATATGGGTTCTTACTTTAGGAGAAAGTTTGGGGTAATTAAGAGCATGGTACAAATGGTAAAAGGCAAATCAGCCTATTGTCTTCCTTTTGTTTAAATCTGAACCCAATTCATTGTCCATCCACTGGAACTATCCAAATTCTATGCACAATGATCAGTTTTATGGATTGTCCACCTAGCCTTTTATCATTGATTAGGCAGAAGGCCTTTATTAGCTACTTTGTTTTTCTTGCATGGATAGCTAGGAAAAAATTCTTTAGTCAAGGAGTTTTGTTACATATGGAAACCTCTTTCTTGGTCAAAAGACTTTGGGGTTCCTCTGTTTTCTACAGCCTCCAGCTAGTTGTGTGAATATAAAGACATAGTCTTCTATAGGACATATTTGTGAAATCTCAGGTGTTCCTTTTTCTATTTTCATCAAGGACACTTGTGATCCTTGTGTAGACCATTTTTATAAAGAATTTGTTGAGATTATAAAGTAAAGCACTTGGACTTATCTGTTCTTTTAACCATTTATTTTATTTTCATTGTAAATAGTTTGTTTAAGTTGGTGAGTTGCTTCAGCTGTGTGACATAACATCTTATATTTCATTTTTCATTCTAATTTAATACAGATTTTATATTTTGCTTTAACATATTTTTTAATACCCAATTTGAAAGTGACTCTCACATTAGTCAGCTCCTGTCATTTCATTTTTTTTATGATATTATTTGGTGCTAACCATATGTGACATTTTCTACTTTCGTTCTTGAAGAAAATAGTCATGATATGAAGAAGCATGGTGAATCATGTGTTAGATGTAAGTTCAGGGAGAACTGGGTTAAACGTTGGCGAAGTGGGGAGAGTGCTGGCCTTGGACTTGCTAACACCTGGGTTTAAACTCTGCCTTTGAAACTTACCAATTGTGCTACATGAGTATGTCATTTAAACTTTCTGAAGCTTAGGAAACTAACTTATTCACTAAGTTATGGGTGCATTTTGATGAGTAATCAGTGTTCCACGAGTGAAAGCAAATATTTTTGGTATATTACCATGCTGTTTCTTATTGCCTTTGGACTCAAGATGAAAGTAATTATGCCAGTGTCTTCATTTGCCTCTCCAAGTTAGACCAGTCTTCCATTAAGCTTCATCCTCCTTTTGTCTTCTGGTTTCACTTATAGCAAGAATGTTAAGATTGATATAGGATGTCCATTCCTTGATCATTGGAAAGGATGTTGCATCTAGGATAATATCAGCTAAGTTAATATTAATAGCTATTTTTAAAATGTTATGATTTTGACCATCATCTATGCCCTTTTCTACCTTTCTGCCATGATTAATGCAGAATCGGAAAAGAAGGGAATTATATACTTGTGCTTTTGATTTTTTTTTAAACTAAGTGTAGGTCTTTGTATTTCTTCCCACTAGATTTCATATTCTCATGTTCAGACCATCATTTTATCCTACTAAGATCCTTTTGGATCCCAAATACTTTATCTAACAGGTCAGCTTTTTTTCAGGTTTTATGTCATCTACAAATTTGATAAGCATGGCATTTATGACTTCAATACATTGATTAAAATGATGAATAGAGCACCGCTAAGAACAGAGCCCTGTGACACTTCACTTTAAATATCTTCAGGTTCACAAGATGATAATGGGTAATTATAATCGCTCAAGTTCTGGAGATTCACAATCTCTTAGAAGATTTTCCTCTCCCTAAGATTTACAAAACTTGGATTAGGAAAACTACCCATTTCCAATCATCTGCATGAGGATTATTCACCACAGATTATTTTTAATGACGTCAAGCATTGAAGGATAGCCAAGATGAGTTTTAGCTCTAATAACAAAAGAATGGAGCTTAGAAGGGATGGCAGTTTGGCTACATAAAATTAGAGTTATTTATAAATGTATCATTGAACATGTCCTAGAATGGCTTTCTGTCTCAGTTGTATTCCTCCCGGGTAAAATAGGTTGCAAAAGGTTCATACCAGAGAGCTGAGACAGATGTAACCTACTTAAAAAATGAAAGGAATGCCACTGTAGAAATAAACACACAACATACATGGAATTCTATCAGTAGAAGTTAGGGGATAGTCAGGCTAGTATGTCTTGTGGAGATGGGTAAATAACAAAGCTTGGTAGTGTGCAGATGTTAGAAACACTAGGAAAAAAATGACCCAAAGTCAACTTGGAGCTATGAACTTAATGACCTCACAAGCTTCACATAATTTTGTATCAAACAGAGGATCTTTCTATTAATAAGTATACAAATGAGAAAATAAATTGATAAAATCCCAGCAAGATGAGGTGGGATGACCCAAACAGGCCCACACTTCCAGGGGTGAACATCACTGCAGACTGGGACAATGGCATTCCATTTTTTTAATTAAAAAATTATTAATTATTGAACATGAACAAATATGAAAGTGAAATATGAACTAAAATCAGAGCTGTGAAGGCAACCTTAAAAATAGAGGAGGAAGTAAAAAAATCTTTTTAGAAAATTAGGACTTTTTCACAATTGGATTCATTGAGACATGGAGAGATGAGTTTGATATACTCTTACCTTCACACACATTTTTATGTATCTTAATATTTCTAATTAGGAAATATTTCCTACAAAAGTGCTTTATACCTAGTAAGTACTTAACAAATGTTGTTTCATTCAGTCAGTCATTCTTTCTGTGTGCACTAGTCTATATTACAAAGTACAAAAGAGATTCATTTTTATTACTTATTATTTTATATTTCCATGCAAACCCCTCCCCAACACACAGACACAATCCTATTAGCTGAGGTAATCAAGGGTTGACCAAGTAGAGCATGAGAAATTCAATCTAGAACAATTGTTAGTGTAAGACGACAATTGGACAGGATCTCTCAATAGCTTTGTTGAAGTAACGTGTGTGTGTGTGTGTGTGTGTGTGTGTGTGTGTGTGTGTGTGTATGCAGGAAGACGAAGGAGGAAGGGAGAAAGAAAGGCCAAATCATTTAACTTTTCTGGGCTTTGGTTTTTTCTTTCAAATTAATCCATAAGCATTAAGTACCTACTCTGTGGTAGGTGACAGGGATCAAAAAAAAAAAAAGCAACAGACTGCCCTCAGGGAACTTATACACTATTAAAAGACATACTGTGTACTATATACTATATACGTAAGTGTGTATGTAGATGTAGATCAAATAAATATAATACAAATAAAATGAAGGGCTCTAAGAAGTGATCTCTAAGGTTTTACACCTTGAATATTCTATAATTCTAATTGTTCCTCATTTGAGACAAAATAAACAAGCTAATTTGCTCCCTTTCTAGCAGGAAACCCTGCCAGTCACATTGCTATTTTAGTAAGTATATGCAAGTTTTATCTTATCTTCCAATTTAAAATTTATTATTTTATATAACCCTTGATAAAAATGCAACACACACTCACACACATGCACACAGATACACATATATGTATATTTTTTTTCCTTTAAAATTGTCATTCAGTTATTACATTGTATGAGTCTATATCTAGGTTAGAGGCTAGAAGGCATAGTGGGAAGAGCATGGAATTGGACATTAGGAGTTCTGGTTGTAACAATAATTAGCTTTGAAACTTTGGTTAAATCTCTTCTCTTTGGGGGGCCTCAGTTTCCCCTTCTGTAAAAAAGAGAGGGTTAGACTAAATGATTGCTAAAGTCCCTAACAGCTCTATGAAAAAAAAAATCTGTCATCCAAAAATAAAACTAACAAGAAACCCCAATCACAAACAAACTAACAATAGCTTGCAAGTGCAAAAGCACTCTTGTTATTTTATCTGAAGTTCACCGTTAGTAATAGTGAGGACTAGCGGAAAGCACAGTGTCTTTGTCTTTGAGTGGCCTGGATTAAGATCCTGGATCTGCCACTTAACCATGTTTGATCTTGGGCAAATTGCTTTACTTCTATGGGACTCAGTTTGCTGATTTGAAAAATGAGGGGATTGGAAACCCCTCGTGGCCCGTGTGCTCGGGCTCCCCTAGTCTGAGTCACGGCCACCATTTGCCCGGGGCCATTCACCGCCCCTTGTGAGGGTGGGGGTGGGGAAGCGGAGGTATCTTACCCTGGGGTCGGACTTCCAATTACCTTCCTCATTCCTCGCCTACTTGATGTGGAACACTGGGTATTAGAGAGAGTTAAGAGAAGTGACGTATTAAGCCTCTTCATGTGTTAAGAATGGGTCATGTTCCCTAACAGCAGCGATCAGTCTACTTCAGAATCATGACGATCCTGTTTAGGGAGGATTGGAGAGAGCACAGGAGGGACTCGGAGAAGACAACAGCCACACGGCAAGAAGTGCTCAAGTGCTTGCAAGGAGGTGGCATGCAGCATCAGGGCAGGTGAAGACACCATCAGAGAAAAGCCGTACATTATAAATGAAGCCAGAATGTTGTTCCAGAAAAACAACAATCTTACGGATCCAGAATTAAACAATGTATAGATGAATGCACAGCAAGAACTGAAATAGGATTGCATTATCAGATCCCATATCCAAGGCCAATTCACCTGCCTCCAATGGCCCTCACTCCCCTACAGAATCGTGGGCTTCAAACCCAGGAGAAGCTAAGAAAATATTCCAAACCGTTATATCTCAAGTCTCATAATAAAGTTTCTTGATCCAAGAAATAGGTTCTCTGTATGAACTGTGAGCCAGGCAGGAGCTGAGCACAAACTAGATGATGAATCTTTTATACTTAAGTCCTGTCAAATAAAGGAATGACAAAGAATGTAGTCTTCGCTGTAATTTCTCTTAAACACTCCAAAATTTGAGTCCTTATTCTCAGTAACGCTAATTTAATGTCCTTGAATTTATCGGTATCGGTGTGTTGCTACTAAATAGAAATACTCTCCCAAAGATAATTTCTAATCATGATCTTAGTAACATCTTAGATGAAAGTCTGAACATAGCAAGAATCAGGCTTAAATTTAAATTTTAAAAATTACCTTTTTTTTGTGGAAATAATGTAGCTGTATACACAGAGGGAGCTGCAGAGTAGAGATATGGCAGTCCCTGTGAACAGCTTTCTTGGAAGTTCTAAAAATTACTATGGCAATCAAATACTGCCTCAGACTTGTAAATCTCCGTGGGCTTTATTTTGTTTCATATTTAAGTTATGGATATATTTAAAATAAGCTCTTTTATGTTGTAGTCTACTGATACCTTTTTTTTTTTACTCTCTTGACTCAGATATACTTTTCATTAATATCCAAGTAGGCTAGTTTCTCCTTTACCACACTAGCAGAGTTTATCATATCATATCCCATCATCCTATCCCCTTAACTGTTAGTGGAAAATATAGTATCTCAGGGAAATTTGGGGGAGGAGGGAAATATCCCAAATTTTTGGGAATTGATGTATTTCATTCTGTCCATTAAATGCATACTCTGTACAAACAAATTCTAAAACATGTGAGTTATAATTTTGGCCTCAAAGCCTCACTGCAAACTCATACTACAATAGGTAAAAGTAATCACTATTTCTAATTGACAAAATTGGAATCTCACAAGCAGAAGAACATGCTATAAATTACAAGGCTAGGCTGATTTGAAATTGTGTACACATAGGAAAAAGAAAATCTAGATCAAAAGGAGAAAGGACTGTGCTTTTGTGATAAACCAAGGGGAAAC